TTTGTGTTGGTTGAGTATACTATTGATCATTGATGTTGGACTATTTTGAAGTTTAGTGCATCTTTTGGCTATGTTGTTATTAATTTGTTCTCTTATGTTTTTAACATTTTCTAGATTGTATGCATAATAGAGTGTTTTCCACTTTGTGTTGGCTGCAGTTATCTAGTCAGGTAGAAGGTTAAAATCTTGGAACAGTGCAGGTATATTGAGGTGATAAAGAGAGTTAAGTTGATCAATATTTTGATTATAAAGCATAGGCACAGAGATATGATTGTGAGATGCTGCTTTAACTTGTCTTATGATATTGCCAAGTTTTTTGAGTCCTAAATGTAGTTTGGATGCATTGGAGGAAAAGATGTGTTGAAAGTTTTAGACAGTAAATTTTTTGTTTGAGATATGTTGAAAGGCAGCTGAAATAATATTAGTTTGAATTTTGTGCCAAGTGGTCTCAAGTAATTTTGTAGTATTAGTTGTAGAAGGAGCATTGTTGTTATAAAGGTTATATGTAACTTGGTCAGTAAAGTTTTGCCAAAGGTTTTGGTTTATTTGTTTATAAGTAAATATTCTACACTTAGTTTTGGTTGCTGATCGTTATTTCTCAGTAATGGCATAAGGAAATTCCCAGGATAATATTAGTATATTATGGTCACTAAGTGTATATTGGTTAGCATCATCTGTATAGTAAGAGGTTAGGTATCAGATAATAGAATGGTTAGCCCAAATATAGTCAATATAACTGCTATATCTGCTACTATGCTATATAGAAGTTAAGGATTGTGTGTATTTTGCTAAATCATACATGTTATTGTGTTGGAGAAAATGAATAAGTTTAAGTTTGATAGAAGATGACTGTAAATTGTCAGAGACATTAAAGTCACCTATGACAATTGGTTATATATTGTTTGTACTTGCTTTTTGAATCTATTGTATAATATTGTTTTGGATGAGAAGTCTAAGTTGAAGGTTATCACAAGGTAGATAGACTGATATAATACAGAATTTAAAGTCATGTTTAAAGAAGAGATCAATTGTGATAGCATATTCAGAAAAATTAAGTGTTTTATAAACATGTGGTTTGAGATGTTTTTGGATCATAATTGCTGTTCCGGCTTTACAATTATCAGTATATGACTAATAATAAGTAAAATGTTGGGATTTAGGAAATTTAACATGTGCATTGTTCTGTGAGATTTTAGTTTCTGTAATACTAGCAATATTGATGTCATGAGATATACAGTAATCCTTCCATGTTTGTTGTTTTAGATTATCATTATATCCTTATGTATTATGTGTACATATTGACAGATAAAGTAGTTTGTATGAGTTAGGTGTAGGTGTTTGAGCTATTAGGTTGGAAGACATAGGTTCAGAGATGGTTTCAGACCAGGAAACTGTATGATTAGATGCAGAGGTAGATGGTAAATTAGTAGGTAGTGATGCTAAAGATGAGTTAGCAAGGAACAATTGATCAAGTGAAAATAGGTAAATGTTAGATGAGGTATTGTTTGGTGTTGTTAGTAAAGGTAAGTGTTTGTATAGTTCATATTGAAAAGGTTGGATGAGATTATGTTTAGGCAGAATAGAATCTAAAGGGTCAGTATATATGTGTAGCTCAGTTTTGTTATAGTTAATAGATATATTAAAGTTATGTTTAAAGAAATGTTTTCAAAGGTAGGATAGAACTTCACCAAATGTTATATAGTGGTGTATGATAGGTAGGTTGTATAGTAAAAGAAATTTGTTATAACATGTATTTGTTCTTGCAAGAGATGAAGTATTGGAAACAGGAACATGAAAGGTTGAATTGTCTTCTACAGAATCATTCACCATTTGAAGCTCAGCTTGCACAGCTGTGAAGAGTACTATAGTTTGCCCTGTATGTTGGGTCTGACTGTCATTAACTTGGCTCTTCATATAAATGGACTTTACCACTTGCCCACTTACATCATTTTCCTTGCCAACTACTAAGAGTGTATCTTTTGACAAAGTGGCAGCTGCATCTATAGGATTTGTAGAAGACAGGTTTATTAAAAAGGAGTTTCCTTAAGGAAGAGAAATTCTTCAATTAAGGAAAGTATTGAGTATGAGGTCTTTGTTTTATATATTTTATTTATTTATACTTATATTAAATAAACTATATAAAAAATTACTATATATTCTTGCTTACTACATCAAAGACTAAGAAATGCTTTTATAATACTATTAGTCTTAACATGGTTTTAGTTAGTAAAAATATATTATAGCTTTTAAATGATTTTCAAATTTTTTTACAATTTTTAAGACATCTGAAACTGTGTTATTATTTTTGTTATTAACAAAAAAATAAGTACCAACATCTTAACAGTTATATAAATCTTGAATGTATAAGATAAACAGTTCATAATAATATTTGTTAGTTTTATACATTGAATCATTAAGGGTTTACTATTTATATTGTTCAAGTTTGACAAATTGAAGAAGATGTTAAAGACCAAGCAATAAGTAGACTGCCTAGAGTTTATATAATATTCAACATAATAATTCTAGTTTTTTAAAAAAAGAATACTTTTTTCTATATCAGATTCTTTATATTTATTACCTCCTAAATAGTTATTTTGAATTTCACAAACTTTGTATTTAATATTTGTAACTTTAGCATGTTTTAGCTCTTTAACACTTGAGTTCAAGTTTAACATTTTAGTCACATAATCTTTAATTGCACTTATAATAATAGATAGTAAATAGTTTTTTGTCACTTTATTCTTAACTAATTTCTGCACTGCTTTTGAATATTTTAGCTTTTTATTTTTATTAAGCATATGTGTATAATTAGGACCTCTATTATATTATTCTACTTGCACTTTTTGTGTACTAACAAAATATAATATCTAAATTTTTGCAGAACAGAGATTAGGTAAATAGATCTTTATTTTTTAATGATTTTTAACAAGAATTTCATCTTTTCAACTATTTGAATGATTATGCTTCATTAATTGGCATGCAAATGTCTTCTAAGAATTACTATTAGTATGATTTTTATAACTAAATCTTGTCTATATATTTGTAATAAGCAGCTACTATTCATAATTAAATTTATTTATTAATACTTTAAATAGTTCACCAACATTGAAGAAAGCACTCACCTTTGATCAGAAGTTGTAGATTGTAATATATAAACTTTTATCCTTTTATATGTTGTAGATGCTTTATCTGCTGCAAATATTGTTTGTACTTTCTTATATTTTTTACTATCTTCTAACACAACTATATTATTTTTCTTCAATACGGTTTTTTTGTTTTTTACCAAAACTTTACCTTCATTAACTTTTTCAAACATATTGCCTTTTCTTTTAATGAAGTTATAAATTGTATTAAAAAAAAAACTATATTATTATTAAAAAAAAAGGTTACAAAATAATAATTTAGTTATCTATATTATTGTTGCAATCCAATTGCAAAACTACAATATAATGAATATGCCCTGCTAAAAAAAAAGAAAAGAAATTTTTTTTTTAAAAAAGAAAGAGGTTTCTTTAAAAAAAAAAAGAAAAAGATTTCTTTTTAAAAAAAAAAGAATATAAAAAAATATAAAAAAAAATCAGGATTACTATGTCTTCTATAATTTTTTATATTACAGATAATTTTGTGAAATATTAAACTTTAAATGATTCTTAAAAAGGTTTGAACTAATAGAAAGGACCTAAAATGCATACTGGAAAATAGAAAATAAAGAAAGCTAAAAAAAAATTCAAATTTTATTAAATATTTAAACAATTCTTTAGATTTTATTTTAAATAAATAAAGAATAAATATATTTTTTGTAAGTGTATAAACTTATTTTATTAAAATAAAAAGTATCATATAATTATGCCAAATTAAAGTTGTATTAGATCAGAATTTAAATGTAGAATTAGTGTAAACCTATACTAGGTATCTATTACTAGTTTCTATTTTTTCAATGATCTTATATTTATATTTGTATTAACAATTATTGCAATCTTATAAAAAAAAATAAGGACCAGTAGTAGAACTTTTAAAATATCCAGTATGTTATAGTAAGTATTAGTAGATATTAGTAACATTATAGTTATTTTAATCTGGCACAAGTTTTAATTTAACTCAATATTATTTGCTTCAACACAAAATTATACATTGTAGTAACTATATAATAAAGTATAGGTCATAGTAATTAAGCAGAACCATTAATATTAAAAAAAAAAAAATAATTAAGTAGAAAAAAAAAATAGCCTATTTTCTAAATCTGAATGCAATTTTATATTTCATTTAAAGCTGAAAAATACATTTTACAATTTTATATTTTATATAATTTTATATAAGTTTTACTAACATGAATTTTATATAAATTTTATATATGATATAAAGTACTAATATTATAAACTCAGCTAATATTATTAAACTACAATAGATTTTAAATAATTTTACTGATTAAATCAATATATATATAATCTAATTAATCATAATCATGTTTTTTACAAATTATATAAAAATCATCTTACTAAAAACTTATACAAAATTATACAAAATTACATAAAACTATAATAATTTTACAACTCTAGACTAAATACAAAAACATTAATACATAGTAAAAAGAATTAAAAAGAAACAATCTTTCAAAAAAAAAAATTTAATACTTATTACTAGTTCTGTTCTCAGTTTCAAACTAAGTTAAAATTTTGGTTGACCAATATAAATTAATACTTGCCAAAGTTCAGAAACCATTGCCAGTTTTTTTACATTTTAATAAGATCAAAGCTTACAAGCAAAAAATAATTATTATCTGCCAAAGAAAAGTAGAAATTAATAAAAAAAAAAGAAATTAGTACTTATCTTTAGCTATAGTTCTTATTTTCTACCAAAGTTCAAAACTCTATTGCTAGTTCAGTTTTGTATTTAATGAAGCCAAATCTATAAAAAAAAAGAAGATATTAATTTCTGCCAAGACAGGATAGAAATAAATAAATAAATAAAAAAATTAATACATATATTTAGCTATAGTTCTTATTTTCTGCTACAGTTTAAAACTTTATTGCCAGTTCACTTTTATATTTTAAAAAATCAAAGTCTAAAAATACAAAGAAAATATTAGTATTTATTAAAACAAATAAATAAATAAATAAAAAAAATAGAAACAAAAAATATTTATCAATTTAGTTCTTGCCAAATCCAAATTTTAGATCTAAAAAGAAAATAAGTTTTAAATAAAGAATTATCAAATCACAAAAATTTACTTAAAATTTATATTCTAGCAAACTTATAAATTTAAATATCAAAATATTGAAGAAAAAAAAGCTTATTAAAAAAACTAGTAAGAAAAAAATAAAAAAATATTACATTTAGTGATTAAAATAAAAAAAAAACTGTTAATGTTATGCAACTAATTTAACCAGATGTTTGATTAGATATGTAACATCAATAGTTATCAAAGTAGATTTTATATTATTTTTTCAAAGAGCCAAAATAATTTGTTTTATAATTTTCTATGATTTTGTTAGGCTTTAAATAATCCTGATTTTAGTCTAAAATGCAATCTAATTATTAAACATATATATCTTATATATAGCAACTGCAATACTGCTTACTGTCTATTCAAACAACTGCATACTTAAGCTATATATAAAATATTAAACCTTTATTTAAAACATAATAACCATTATGTTTATATTTGTTTATTAAATACAAGTATTATATAATATTTTAAACTAAAGATGTAATAACTTAGTAAAGTAAATAAGTATCAACTTTTAAGCAGTAGATTGAATATTCAAATTCTATTAATAATAAAAATTTAAATAATTACCTATGTAATACTTGTATTATAGCAACTGTTTTTAATAATTAGATTAAAATATCTATAATAGTAATTGCATTAGTTTGACTAGCAGGTCATGAAACATTTGTATAAATATTGCATTATATAAAAGAATGAAAACTAGCAGTAGGTAGTGCAAACTCTAAATAAGTTCTTGTAGTATATAAATCTGTTAAAATTGAAAAACAAAAGTCTATTTGGAAAGACCTAAATAAAAAGATAATATAAAAAAAAACTCTTTCCCGTAAATCATTTTTATATAGTAAACAAATATCAAATTGCAACTGGGCACATTTAAAATTTA